GGAAGAAATATCAACAACCTCCGATATGCAGATGAGACCACTCTGATGGCAGAAAGTGAGGAGGAATTAAGGAACCTTGTAATGAGGGTGAAAGAGGAGAGTGCAAAAAAACACACAAAACGATCTGAAGCTCAACATCAAAAAAACTAAGATCATGGCCACTGGTCCCATCTCCTCCTGGCAAATAGAAGGGGAAGATATGGAGGCAGTGACAGATTTTATTTTCCTGGGCTCCATGATCACTGCAGAAGGAGACAGCAGCCACGAAATTAAAAGACGCCTACTTCTTGGGAGGAAAGCGTTGACAAATCTTGACAGCATCTTAAAAAGCAGAGACATCACCTTGCCGACAAATGACCGCATAGACAACGCTATGGTTTTTCCAGTCGCGATGGATGGAAGTGAGAGCTGGGCCATAAAGAAGGCTGACTGCCGAAGAATTGATGCTTTTGAATTGTGGTGCTGGAGGAGACTCTTGAGAATCCCCTGGACTGCAAGGAGAACAAACCTATCAGTTCTGCAGGAAATCAACCCTGAGTGCTCACTGGAAGGACAGATCCTGAAGCTGAGGCTCCAATACTTTGGCCATCTCATGAGAAGAGAAGACTCCCTGGAAAAGCCCCTGATGTTGGGAAAGTGTGAAGGCAAGAGGAGAAGGGGACAACAGAAGATGAGATGGTTGGACAGTGTCACTGAAGCTACCAACATGAATTTGGCCAGACTCCAATTGGCAGTGGAAGACAGGAGGACCTGGCGTGCTCTGGTCCATGGGGTTACGAAGAGTTGGACATGACTGAATGACTAAACAGCAACATGAAAGCTAAAATAAACACACAAAGCAATGATCAGACACCACCTAGGAACTAGCAGAGGTTCTGGATCATAGGCTTTACATTACCAGCTTTAGATACTAGGCTAATGTTAAATCAGCTTTCAGTATTGACTGTATGTTTCTGCCAATAACTACTTACCGTCCCTTTATGTATATTTTGTTTTTAATCATTTTTTGGCTGTTGACTGCTACCACAGCGTTTCTTATACTCTTATTAGCTGTTTTTGTTAGTCATTATGAGTATGTTTCATCACAGAAATGCAGCATATAATATTTCTTTTAAAAATCAGAACCAGAATAAAGTCACAGATACTTTGGGTTGGATCCATATTGGTACTTAGCAGAGTCCTACTTGGACTGGAAGAAAGGGGTGGGGAGGCAGACCTCACAACTCCTCCTTCCTCAAGCAACCCCATGCACCTCTTGGAGAGCTGTGGAAGGCTGAAGCCATATGGAAGGCAAAAGAGGGAGCAGTCAGAGGAAGAAGGGGGGTGAGCAAGATTATCTGCCCTTTCCCTTCCATCACTTCTGGTTCTTGATGCTTCATGTGTGTGATTGGAAAGACTCCTTCCATTCACAGAATGTCCATTCTGAATCCAGTCCAAGTGGGGTGGAGATGGTTACCACAATTAAATTCTATAAATCAGAACCTAGATAATGCAAGGCAAATTGGTTGTAAAAGACCAAGAGACAAAGAACAGAAAGAAAGAATACCTCTCGGTCAAGCTGAAATCTTGCTGTCCGAACTTCACCTGTTGCTCTGTTGATTGTAAATGCCTCAGGCTGACTAGGATCCTGTGAAACAATCTTGAAGGCAATTTGGGCATTCTTAGTATCTGGATCATCAGCATCAGTTGCAGTTATCTTCATTACAATAGTATCTAAGAATTCGAACAAAGCAATGTTACAGAATGCTGCTAGGTAAATGATACTGAACGTAAGGTTTCCAGGTGCTTTGAATTATTCACTTTTAAATTTAATATGGCACATTAAAAATGCAGTCTGAAATCCTGTTCGTGCAACTATACCCACAGACAGCTCATCACATTACCAGTAAGTAGAAATTTTTGGAATTCAAACATAGCTGCCCTTTGGCTCCTGTGCAATCCCTTTCATTGTCAGGAAGCCACAGGACCCAGAAAGATGGGGCCAGGGGAGAATGCCTAATTACTGAAAATTGAAGTCACCAGGATGATGCTAAAATCAGTAGTGATTTGGGCCAATTAAAAACTTCCCATTCCATGGCTCCCATAGCTTTCAAACAATGAAAAGGATTACATGGGATCTGTGCGAGCCGCAGGTCAGAAGTAGAAAGTGTTTGATTTCTAGAAATCACTGCCTGGGGCTTATGTCATCAATTTTCTGCAGGCTTAGTTGTGTCAACAGGATCACAGCCATGTTATGGAAGCATGGATATTTGGTCAAAAATGCAAAAAAAAAAAAAAAAAAAAAAAAAAAAAATAAAAAAACAAAGAAAAAAAAAAAAAAAAAAAAAAAAAAAATTAAATCACAGAGATAAAATCTCTGGTGTCAAATTTTCGTTCTTGTTATTTTTTAAATGGAATTATAGATATCCCTTTGGACCGGACAGCAAGAATGATGTATCATAGACTATGCCACAAACAGTATTACAATGTGTGTGTTTATGCAATGTGTGTGTTTATGCATGTATGTTTATTTGGTGTATAAAATAATATGTTTCTTGTAGTTTAACTGATACAGTCATACTGGATTGTATAATCTGGTTCAGTTCACAAACAATTCATAGTAAGCAGATACAGTAACATTTCAGAGAAACCCAACCCTGTTCCTACCTGTGGTGAGCAAGGGAACTTTCAAGAAAAAAGTTCCCCCAGTTGAAACCTGCAATTATGTAATTCAAAATTCTTTCCTCTGATTCTGCATAATGACTATACAACAATGGGGACAACACAGGGGTTGTTTGTTTGTTTAAATTAAAATGTATGAAGAAAAAATAACAACTTACAATTTAAAAAAAGGCACGAGGAAAGAGGAAAAGTGTAAGCCAACCACTCTCTCCTTTCTCTACCATGAGAGTTTCTAGAAAATATCCTATAATACAGAAGTGGGTGAAGTACAACCAGTGGGCTGTACGCAGCTACTCAAGAGCTCACTGACATAAGACTGATTTTTTTAAAAACGACTTCTACTCCCAGAAATATCTAATAAAAGAACTTTTTGTATTACAGATGCTCAGACTCATCCAGATGCCCCAGCAAGAACCGGACATGGCCAACTAGACACTTCTAATGTCATTTCCCCCCTAATTTTGCAGCCATTTCTGACTAGGCATAGTCATTCTTTTTTGTTGTTGTTTTTGGAGGTGGGGCTAATTTCAGAATTCCCCATTCTCGGAGTTCTGTCTGCTAAACACTTAAATTGTGCTCACCTGAAGGAAGGCTGAACAGGAGGCCTTACATGGGCCCAGGGTAAGCTGAGCTCAGGCCTAGTTTCCTGTTGTAAAAGGAAGCTGACCGTGCTGCTTGCTGAGAGTTCTAACTATTTCTGCGACTGATTCATGCTGTGGCAAATTCTGGTGCTGCAATTTTGGCTCCCAGGCCTGTCAATATCCCCCTTGATATAATGGAGCACAGCTTTTAATGTTTGCACATCTTGTGCCTAATGATGCTGTACTGCATTTTCTAATATTCCCTCCCCTCCCAACAAACCCACTGAAAATCAAATATCTGTATGTTTGCAAATCCATAAAAATTCACTGACAACAGTGAAATAGACACATGTTTAAATAAGTGCACAATTTCAACAATAATCAGGGCTACAAGGGGCATAGGAGAGAGGATAGTAATGACAAAATAACAACATAATATATAAGTTTATGTAGAGTCAGACTGAAAATATAAAATTGTAGGACTTACTGGGTGCACTCAGTTCTTCAACAGAACCTGCAAAAACTTGCTGTGAAAACACTGGGCTATTGTCATTTACATCCAAAACTTTAATTCGAAGGTCTAATGGTTTTTCCAAGTTTACACCATTTTGATCCAATGCATAGGCTCTCAGCTGCAAGAACATTAACAAACAAAGTTAAGCAACAGGGATGTAAAAGTGGCCACAACATGTTACTTAATTTTTTCCCATCAATTAGAGAAGAAAATTCAGCTACAGGAACAGTCAACATTTAACAATTGACCCCAACCTTTATTTCTAATGGGAGAAAGGAGCCCAATCGCTTCACTCACATGCAACATTGGTGTTTCCTCTCGATCCACTATCCCAGTTATGTTTATCGCTCCAGTTTTTCCATTGATCACAAATAACTGATAGGGTGGTTCTGTAACTCCTTGGCCAGAAATGGTGTAAGTAATAACTAATCCTGGTTCACCTTCACGATCAGATCGTATCTACAAGAGAAGAGGGCAAAATCTGGGGAATTAAACCTAAATGAAAAATAATACAAAAAACCAAGACAAATTTGTGTGCATGTCCACCTCTCTCGGGTAGTTATTACGTTACTGTGTAAAGCAGAATGTTTTGTATACCCCAGCATTACATGATATGCGGAAGAACTCTAATTTGAAGAATAAAAGTTTTACAGGGAAAAAATGGGTTTCGAGCAGAGGATTGAAGGAAAAGAGAGAGATGATACTCTGTTGGTACTGTGATAGGAAGCTCACTGCTATCCTGTCACAGTACCAACACAGATAAAGTGTGGAGTTCATGAAGAGGGCAGGAGGCCTTAAGGAGGCAGAATGGGAGGAACAAAGATTATAGATAAGAGGAAAGTACAACCAGGAAAGGTTTCAAAGTAAACCCAAGAGGGTTGTACAGCACCATCCCCATTGGAATGTGTCAGAACAGAACCATTTTGATTATAGTTAGATTGAAGATCTAACATTTGAGTCTGTAATCTGAGCTCCAATGTAGAAATGTGGCATGGTAAATGTCACCTCGACTTAAATACTGTTGTCTCAGCTAAAAATGCTTTAGTAGTGCTATCTGTCAAGAGGCATCTTTAGAAAAGGAAGACTAATTCACATCTGGCACTTCAACAAGAAACAAAAGAAAAAAAACAGGGGGAAAAAAGACATTGTGGCACCTTAAAGACTAAATGCTGTATTTTAATGTAAGCATTTGTGGAACATTGTCCTGACTTACTCGAGCAATTGGATTCCTGTTGGAATTGTCACGCTCTTCCCAGATGTTTGCTGGTGGGACAATCCACTCTCGTTTTTGTCTCATCCGGTTGTTTGTATTGAATAGCTGGTCATTCCTGCCACCAAGAATCTGACAGAAAAACAGGTCTCAATTGGGCATCCAGTGTTAAAATTTGGATATATATATATATATATTTAAACTCTTCTTGACAATATTGTAATTAGCAAACTATTTTAAACATACATTTAAATGTACAATGCTATTCTTCATTACTGATACCTTCTCTGAATTATTTATTTCATTTTCACTAGGCTAAACGCTATTTTACTTTTGGGGGAGCAGAAGCAGTGATGGAGTTGTCACAGTTGTCAGTTGTGGATTTCTTGCATCTGCAAGGGGCTGGACTCTTAAGGGGCTTATTTCAGAAGAAACTTGCAGTGCAGTTACTTGCATGTTCACTCAAGCAGATACAGAAGCCGGTCTGCATCATGACCTTTAACAGTACAAGTAGAAAGATGCTAGATAGGATTATAAGAAAATGTGTGCTAACAGAGTTGACCAAATTGTCTTCAATAGGCACCTGAAATATGGAGGACCCCTTGCAGCTACACTATCCTATTTATGTTCTTTGTCAACAGACATATAATAATAAAATAATATTAGTTTTAGCCTATAAACTTCAAATGAATAACAATCATCTATAGTTTTCCAAAGCACCCAAAGAGTTTTATATGCATTCTCTAAAGTATACAAAAGTGATATGTATCTATAACAATCTTGTTTCCCTAAGTTACCACTATATATTCATTTGAACTCTGTAGATATCCTCTGTATCTTTCATACAATACATTATAATAAAAAATATGTATGTACGACAGAGCTATTCATTACAATTTCACATCATTTCCTACCTCTAAATGAAGTCCATTTCCAATGACTACACAGGTCTGGAAAAAAATATGCATATGTTAAAATATATAATGTATATATATTCTAAAGAACAAAACAAGACTGCATGTGTCCCATTTTAGTAGCAATTAAATACAAATCAATTGATAAGGACAATTAATAAAACTATGATAAGTGGAGGCTTAAATATAATGTTTCAAAAATAAAATAAATATAATGTTTAAAAAATAAAAATAAAACCACTGTTAAGAGTTCAAGATTGAAAAGAGTCATGAAACAAAATGCATTGCTGGCTTATTGTTATGGACAAACCATCCCTGAAAAGTCTGGTTTCGTTTGAACTTAGGGTGGAGCTGCATGTGATAAACAAGAGGACTGCTATAAAAACCTTTCATTTTTTTCTCCAGTCTGTAAAGTTCAGTGTAATAAACCTGGTCTCCTGCTGTCATCAGATTAAGAGCACAACAAACGGGGTAACCAAAAGTGGACTTTTGTGGTGAAATACAGTAAACACCTTACAGTTATGGTACACAAAATGCATGCTCGGTATTGAATTTTTCAACTCTTCTGACTTTTTTCACCAGGCTTTGGTTAGTGTATCTTGAAAATCTGGGGAGGGGGGGCAGGGGACACAAGGGTAGATGCTACAAGCCTGAAGTATGGCCAACTCTACCCTAAAACAGCCTTCTCTAAATTGGCACATATCAGATGTGTTGAATTATAACCCCCATCATTTTCTCTGCAGAGGCTGGGGAATTTGCAGTCAGATACAAACAGAGAGCACTGGGTTGGCAAAAAAAGAGCTCTAAAACTTTATTACTCTGTGAGACTGCACACATACATATTCAAACTTTTTGAAGCAGTTCAGCAAACCACACCCACGCTTTATCTCAGTAATACCTTCATCAGCCATGAGAGATAGGAGGATATTATTATATATTACAAAGGCAGATTATGGAGGGCCAGCTCATAAACTGGGCTGAGGTGACTGACTTCCTATCATCCATAGCTCGGTTGGGAGATAGTAATACAGTACTAAGCACACTTTCTAAGCTCTCTGTTAATGATCCAACCACTGGAGTGTGGCCAACTGTGTGAGTATTTTCTATCCAATCAAAATTCCACAAGGAGGGAGGGTATGCAAAAGATGCAAGAAGGGAGTGCTAAAGGCCTCTGTGACTTGGATGAGCGATTGCTACGTGATTCCAAGCCTGTGTGGAAATGTTGCACCATTTAATGTCTTTATAGTCAGGATGTCTTTAGCAGCTAGTCAGAAAAGAAGGCAAGAAATGGGAAAATATCCATAGCATTAATTCACAAAAGGATTTTGGGGGTGCTGGACTAATTGGAAGGTCCTACAGGAGTTCTATTTGTGTTTTCATTGAGTTGTATTTATTTTTTCTTGCACAGCCGATGCTCCCCTTGAAGGAAAGGGCAGAGGTCTTGCTTGAATAACTGCTGTCACTGCAGGTTTCACAGCCAGCGGGGGATAGGACAGTGTGGTGCCCTGCACAAGATGCTGAGCTAGGCTTATGAAGGTAAAGGTAAAGGTTCTCCTTGACAATTTTTGTCCAGTCGTGTCCGACTCTAGGGGGAGGCGCTCATCCCGCTCTTCAAGCCATAGAGCCAGCGTTTGTCCGAAGACAATCTTTCCGTGGTCACATGGCCAGTGTGATTTAGACACGGAACGCTGTTTACCTTCCCACCGAGGTGGTCCCTATTTATCTACTCGCATTTGCATGCTTTCGGACCGCTAGGTTGGCGGGAGCTGGGACAAGCGACGGATGCTCATTCCGTTGCGTGGATTCGATCTTACGACTGCCGGATCTTCTGCCCCTGCAGCACAGGCTTCTGCGGTTTAGCCCACAGCGAGACCTGGATCCAGATCCCTGCTCTGCTATGGGAACTCACTGGTGGGTGGCAAAACATCTCACTTAGAACCGTATTAGGGTTTGAAACCATTTTTCTTCAGTATTCAAGACTAATCAGCATGCTATGTGACATCTGGACCTGCAACCTTGTCATCTGTATAATAACATCCATTTTCATCAGGCACAACTCAGTTAAATAAGACCAGGTTTTATACAACAGAACAGGAAATGTTTTATGCAGTCTTCACTTAAAAAAAGTTTGATGTATGTCCACATAGATTTATAAAAGTGATCAGGTTTTACTAATTTACTAATACATTGCTAACTTTCTGGTGCCCTATCTTTTAAGATGGATACTCTTTTACCATATTTATCATATAGACAATAAATATGATGGGGGGGGACTTATATCCACTTCTTTAATGTTTTACAGTGTTGGGAAATAGATTTTACATTTGGTGTTTCAACTTAACCACGGAACAATAATGGGTGAAGGAAACTGGCAGTGTACATTCATTGGGCTAACTGCCTGACATCATTGCAGAGATCTCTGTATCCACAGTAAAGCCTTGTTTCTCAAGTCTAAACAGGTTTCCATGATGTGTTTCTAGCCTAAGGGAGTTTTCTGTTCAAGGGTGGATTTCTTTGTTTTGGGTGAGAAATGCATTTTCTTTTTCTCAGGTCAAGCCCTACCCTGCCTTTTACATTACAAACTGTTCTGTCACATCGTAGTTAAATCTGATTCATGCCTTTCTCAGCCCTCTGCAGGTATAAAACAGAATAAAGCTCTTAAGCTGCATCTTAAAATGAGAATCCTCTCCTGGCACTGATTTTTGCTTATATACAATATTTTGCATTTCTTTCTGACTTGTCCTTTCCAAGATTAACTTCAACTGGGCCTTTACCCTAAAAAGGCAGCACGTTGTATCATTAAAGCTGTACCACACAACAAATATTTATTCAGTAGATAAAACACTGATGCAACAAGTTCACATAACCTGTCGTAACAGAATTGCTTTTACACTAACTCTGCTGTTGAAAATACAACAGAAAACACCCCTGCTGTTGAAAAGTAGTCTCCTCCCCACATTACAGCTCTCTTCACAGGAATGCCCTTCCCACAATTTTGTTTACATTCAAGCAAATTGTTAAATGTAGCTCTCACCCTTTAGACAACAGACTTTAAAAAAATTGAAACTGCACCAGTGTGGTGTGAGACAGCTATTGCTTAGGACTCCAAAAGGTACCGGTAATTCAAAAGAGAAATTTAACTCTTTCCCTGCTATAGTTCTTAGAAAATCCCTTCCTTGGAAGATGATTATGATTGTGGGGAGAATCACCTTTTTGGTCCTTAATGGATCTCCTCAAAGTGCAGCTACCACCACAGAAGAAGGATTTTCCTTAGAATTACAGCAAAGGAAGAAAAAGTTATACTTTTCCTCCATTCATACAGGGGTGCCCATAAATATCACCCATTTCCAACTCATGTTAGATTCTTTTCTTTTAAAACTCCAAATGTTAACTTAGAACATGAATTTAATATTGTGTGCAGAATGCATGGTCCCAAGACACATGATTTTTTTCATACTGTGTTTACCCTCCAATTTATTTTCTCTTGCATTACTCTAAGGATTTTTTTTTGTACAAGAGTGAGAAATTACAATTGCATTATGAGTAATAATTTACAAAATACCCAGAGTTGCTTGGTGCTGCACAGATACAAAAGTAGAGCATAAAAAAATCCTCATGCTGGTGGATGGAGTCTTATGAGGTTGTCCATCAAAAAAGTTAACACTTTTCCAAGTTCTATCCAACTTGAACCAAGGAACTGTATGAATGAAACATACAGATTTTTGTAGAGAATGAACACTAGTACTGTAGTTAGGGATGTGCATTTTTTTAAAGCCACTCCAATGGTTGTTGGGAAGCTTTCTTTTCAAACAGGAAGTTACAGTAGGTCTATTCCAGGCATGAAAGCTGCCAGCTGGACCTTCTCTCCAGATGAGCACAATTTAGTTGTAACTCTGGGTTCTGCTGGTGGGATTCCCAAAAAGGGGAATTATGGGATTTGCAGTTAAAAAAAAGCCACACATCCAAAGTGCATATGCACACTAGCTGCAACTCCCTGCTGGGTACAGGCAGAATGTATACTCTGCTGCTAATAATACAGGGTTGCTACCATGTAATACAAGGCTGGGAAACTTGTTTGTCTATCCAGATGTTGTTGGATTAAACTCCCATCAGTTCTAGCTAGGATAGTGAATGGTGAGGAATCACTGGAGTTAAACAGCAATGACATTTGGCGGGCAGGGTTGCCCCAGTTCTTTCTTGTGGAGAGAAGCTCACCATACCCCTCACTGAAGCCATGTGTGACTTGCCCATTTGGTCTGTACAGTGCTGCCCCGCTATACGCTTACTCCGCATGATGTCGAAATCGCTTAATGATGACATTTTTGCGATTGCTATTGCGATCACAACACGATGGTTCCAATGGGGGAAATCCACATTATGTTGATTAGGAGCCCGCTTCGTGAACCATTTGTTCACTATACAATGATTTTTCCGGTTCCGCAAAATGGCTTCCCTCTGCAAAATGGCTTCTCTCCCTTCTCAAAATGGCTGCTTTCCGGAGGGAAGCTTCACATTACAGCGATTTTGAACAGCTGATCGGTGCTTTTCTATGGGCAATCTTTGCTGGACAATGCGGTATTTCCCCAATTGGAACGCATTGATCGGTTTTCAATGCATTCCAATAGTTTTTTCCCAGCTTGACAACGATATCGCTTAACAGCGATTTTCCTGGAAGGGATTATCGTCATCAAGCGGGGCACCACTGTACTTGAAAAGCTCCTGAAAAGGGGTGTTCCTTCCAGCATTACATATCTATCTTTTAAAAGAAATATCTTTTGTGAGATTACCATTGTCAGTTTCAAAGGCATGAAATCACACACAAGATAAGGCAGTTTTCATCAACTGAAAAATATTACATTATCTAGCACCTCTGAAGTTTTTTTTTTTAAATCAGTTTGGGGAGGTAATTTTGAGCTGAAAAAGAATCCATAGCTTTTGTCTGTTACTTTTTTCTTCATAATATGACAGCATGCTCAAGTAGCTTTTTCTAAAAGGTATGTTTAAAATGACAAAACCTTACATAATGCAGAGCTTGG